TCACACTCTCAATACATTTCCAATCTCTCTGCTGCACGCAGACCTACGACAAGACCATTCACTTGTCTCTCCACTCCACAACCTACTTTGAGAATCCTTTACATTTCATTACGTTTCAGTATCAAACAGGTGCTCTGTTCGAAAAGGCTACGAGAAACAACTTCTGGACATTTGACAACATGCCCGGTTTTTGTCGGAAGTGAAATCATCGGAGTATAACGCGACTTACCGGATGAATTGGGGTACTTTGTCGAGTTGAAACGGCGTTCTTAGAGTTAGTTCCAACCGTTAAGTTTGAACTCATAGTATTTTATGGAACTATTCTTGTGACATTTTTAGGGTCGTCATTTTTTTTTGATTTCGCGCGGTGTGTTAAGTTTTTATGTCATCTGAAAGTGGATGTTTTCTGAAAACAGTGTGTATTCTTGTCATTCCTTCAATTATGTGGATTATGTACTCATTCTTGGATAAGCAAGATTGGTAAGAGTCATTGATGTATTTCAAATGTTTTGAAATGTTTCAAAACTTGATTTTCTCAAGCAAGTCATGAAAGTTTTGCTAATTTTATTTATTGATTTTTGCAATTGTTTTCTTGCTCCTCTCTCTACTTCTTGTGTACCAATTGTTTTCTTGAAAATATAATATTTCATCCCAAAGAAAACGCATGAATTTATCGTACATGTCCTCATTCCTAATTGAAAACGCCTATATGTATTCTCCAAATGACACCAATATTGAGAATCATTTGGTGAATTGATGATTTATGTCATTCGAAGTGCATGTCTTTTGCGAAATGTAACATTCCTAAAATTCAAAAATATCTCTGGTTTTATAGATATACATTCTTTTAGATTCTAAGTATACCTGTTTACGTATAAATTAAACAAAATGAGGGACATCTGAATATCTGTGCATATTTGAGTAAGCAAGAATTTGAGTACAACTTTCAATAACATTCGAATAAATATTTATATGACAGAATGATTTAGACTTCATAATGAACCAGAAGGATATCAGGAAGATTTGTCGGTCTGATGAAAAATATTTGCATACGTGTATGAATATATTTCATGTTGAGTTTTGATGCGCATTATTGAATATGTATTGGTATTGATTATATTATATATTTCCGAGAGCTTTTTACTTGTGATACCTAAGAAAATTATCATTCAATTTGATTTTGAATGCTGTAACACTCCCAAAATATGAGGGCTTTAATCTACTTCGTACCATAATATTATGGAATATCTTCATTTACGGAGATAACAAGAATCATTTAAATTCTAACAACAAACCATTAGGCATTATGACTTCTCATGAATCCAATCAACTCAATTTGTCTGAAAACAATTGAATAATTGGATATAACAGTGTACCTTATTCAATTCACAAACAGTTCTCTTGCAGTTGCCTCAAAATTCTATTTAGGACTCTGTTTGAATTTTTGATATAATCGAAAATGTATTTTTCAATTCATTTATTAGTTAACGTGGATGTGTGTAACGTTTGAGGAAATATCATGAGGCCCTATGTTCGGACTATTTATGTATTTCATTCCATTTAAAGAATAAGTACCTAGTTATGAAAACATTAAAAAAATCCTCATTTCAGCAGTTCAATTTCAATTGAAGCAGTTTATGATTCGTTAGTGTAATATAATAATTCAGAAGGACGCCTAGAAATTGATATGTTTTAAATTCGAATTTTGTCAATTTATAGATAATAACTTCAAAAGAATATTGATAACTACTCACCTACTTATGAGGGTGGCCAACGTCGCTCAAAATAATGTCGAAACAAAATTTTAATTTACCATTCTCGTAATTGTTTCCAGAAACAATTCTTCATGGTGAGTCTTCAGAAGTCACAAATCTCTATCAAGAAACTGTCCTGTGTTTGATTTTTTCAAAATTCAATACATCAATACAAATTCATGAATTTCAATAGAATTTTGTTAAAACTCATGTTTCAATCTTGCCAATTCATTAGCACTACTGCAGGGTTGTTTCCTCAGTCCTATTTCAATCAAACAAATTCATTAATTTAGAATGGATTTTTTGAGATAGTAAATATTGTTCAAAAATTAGTTTGACCTAATTGTTTTGAATCAACTGTGTACCGAATATATAATTTATATGTTCGATTACGATATGTGTTGAATACATTTTAATTCGTCAGAATGGATGGATGATTCAATGATGCTGATGATGAATCGAAGTATAGACCTATAGTATATTTCATGAAGCTTCAGATATATAAAACCCATGGATGAAATAATAGATGAAAATAAAAGAAAAATGAGGAGAGAATTCATTTCTTAGGCCATTTTAAGCAATACATAAGGTCTTGAAAGCTTATTTCACAAATTCTTCTTTTTTTAGATACTCGATAAATTCCACTCACAAAATCGATATATCAGTGGAATTTTTCGGACACTCTCCGATAAAAAGTGTTATCTGGAAACAACTTAATAATATCTTCATTCAATAGAATTGATTGAACTAACGGGTTGTACTTCAGTACAGATCTTGAAATGTCTTCTTCCTCTTACTTCATCAATTCTGTTCAAATTAAAAATGCTCAATGATATGAGTATGACTAGGCTCTCAGACAAGTTCTACAATCGTGCAATGACAGTTTGCCTTGATAAGCGAGCTTGAATGACATCAATAATTGAATGTTTCAAAATTGATTTTGGTCGTGGGTTTTAAAATATTCAGTTCTCATTCTCATTTAACTGAATAGTTATTTCCTCCTCTTCTATTAAATTCAAATTCTTCTTCGAATTTTAATACCAACCTGATACTGAGACATATTACTGAACAGTATTTCAGTTTTTCGTCAGAATAGTATGAGATCGACGTCAAAACTGTTTTTACATCTATTAAGCGTTATATTGTCAACAAAATTAATCCATTTATTCATTTTATCGACAAGAAATGTCTGAAACTGGTACAATCAACAACATGTCCAACATTTTTTCCAAAATATAATATTGTAATTAAAATGTTCTTTCGATTATGACCTCAAGAATTAATTTTATTTCAGAATATCATAAAAAACTCTAAAATCATTTAGAGTTTTTTATGATATTCTGAAATAAAATTAATTCTTGAGGTCATAATCGAAAAAACATTTTAATTACAATATTATATTTTGGAAAAAATGTTGGACATGTTGTTGATTGTACCAGTTTCAGACATTTCTTGTCGATAAAATGAATAAATGGATTAATTTTGTGATCAAATATCAATTTGAATAGTAATCTGAGGAAAAAACCACTCTGATATGAAACCTACATCAAAAGCTGGATCAATTAGAAACACATTTGATAACACTCATTAACGAATGATCAGTAATGAATAGCACATTTAATTATCCGGAATTTCGGTGTGAAAATGAAGGTACATAAATGTCGTTTGAAGGTTATAATGAAGTAGATAAAACTGGTTTCTATGAAAATGTAAATCCTTCAATGCCTTGTAGAAAAAGTTTTCTTTCACATTTGAGATTGGGTAATGAGTAGGAAATTTAAAACCTTTCAACTGAAATAGAACGTCTACCCAGCTGATCAATGTACGTAACGTACCTAAGTTGTAGTCGTAGCATAAAACATCTTCTTAGGATGAATGCATGCACTGATTTTCGAGAATATGTTTACAAATTGTGATAAATTATTTCATAAGTCATCATTATAGATAATGATGACCTATGATATTGTTATCTTAATAATCATTATTTTTGATGTTGAACATATCTGCGAATTCCATTGTTTTTGTGATAACAAGTTAATCTCATAATTAAAATTTTTAATTTCAAATGGTTTAAGTTATGCCAGTTTACATTCTGTTCAACTATCAATCATCAAACCACTGTGCTATGGATTGCAAATAGTACAACGGATTGTGAATCACATGCATAAGGAAGGATTGTGAATCCAGAGTAAATTATTGCCCTCTGAGCATATTGAAAACATGTTAAGAGATAAAATAATAATTCAATTGAAGAGTTATTCTTTGGATAGCAAGCGTTGTGGCCGTTCCAAGGTACATTGAAACTACTGAAATTATATCATTCTTTCTTCGTAAAAAGGTGAATTCCGCGTGAAGGTTTATGCATTCTGTTTTTCCACTTAAGATATCCATTTACATTTAGGTCATATATATTATATGTCACTAGATTGCATACAAAATATTTGGCACTTATTAATTCTATTCGATGAAATGCAATAATTGATAAATTGGTATGAAGGTAATCGTCTCAGTATTTCTTCAATACTGAAGAAATATTTCTTGGGTAGAAGCAGGATTAGTTTTTTTCCAAATCCTCGGTTATTAAATATTTCTCCGCATATTGAAAAATACGAAGAGATGCGAGTACGAATGAGTTATCTATGCTAAAACTCACATTTTTCAAAGTTATTCACATAAATGCAAGATTCACTTTCTTTTCATTCTATCGAAAATCGAGAATTAATGATAGTTTCGAAGATTGCGAGACGTTGAAAGTGGAACGCCACTGGCAGATGAAATCAGATACAACAGAAATCGGTTCAGACAAAATCCTTAAACTCGAAATGCATCTGGTTTTTCCTTTGCATAACCAAACACGGGAGAATTAAACAGAAAAATCAGCAGACCAATTCAGTCATTTATATAACAATCGAATGTACGAATGGAACAAAAAGTCAAGATGAAGGAACAGGAGAAGTTTATCCCAATAAAATTGTTATATACATTTATAAAGTAAAGTAATTATTATTCGCGCTAACCATGCACGTACGGAATATATTGTAAATGTATTTGTTCAGTGAAAATTGATATTATAAATTACACGCTCAAAATTTACGACTTCGACTGGGATACGAACCCAGATCTTCAGGTTTATGACCTGCTGCTCTGACCACTAAGCTACCGAGGTCTCCACTTCGAGATGCAATTTCGATTTAAATCTTAATTAAAGTAATTAGATGTAAGTCGAAATTGCAGCTCGAAATGGAGACCTCGGTAGCTTAGTGATCAGAGCAGCAGGGCGTAAACCTGAAGAATTGGATTCGTATCCCAATCGAGGTCGTAAACTTATATATATATATATATATATATATATATATATATATATATATATATATATATATATATATATATATATATATATATATATATATATATATAAATAAATTCAATGGACGATGAATCTACTTTGTGATAGTTGATATTTAAATGAGAGGTAATAATAAAAACATGTCTAAAAATCACTGACTGAACAATTCTTTATTCGACTAGTTTCGCCTTTTACAGCATTTTCAAGAAAGAATGCATTCATTCCTTCTTGATAATGCTGTAAAAGGCGGAACTAGTCGAATAAAGAATTGTTCGGTCCGTGATTTTTAGACAAGTTTTTATTATTATCTCTCATTTTATATATATATATATATATATATATATATATATATATATATATATATATATATATATATATAAAGGGTTGTCTATAGGTTGTCCCAGCCTATAAGGGCGTAAACTTTTTTTTCGATTTTTGATACGCATACGCATACATATTCCTCAGCAAAATAAATAGGTCTTAGGTGAAATAATACATTTTATGTCACTTACAGCAGATCAAATGTTATGTCACGTTCTCCTATCAACTGTATATGTAATCTTTATGATGGATGTTGCGGTCGATGTGATATCTATTTTGATCGGCTATCAGTATCTTGGCATGCCACTCAGAACAGCGCAATGAGATGTCGTGATATTTTCCTGAACTTCTGTTATCTACATATGACTTAGTTATAAATATATTTTAATTTTAGTTGGTTCATTTGTTTACTAGATAGTACTAACGCAATCGATTTCAATTCAATTTTTATTCATCAAACATATTTCGTTACTAAATTGTCAACTTCTGCTGACCATACGTCAAAAATAAACTTTGTAATAGACAATATTTTATTTTATTTTTAGTTATCTATTTATTGTTCAATACTATATAAATTTATTTTAAATTGATTTTTTCGTTCTATATATTCGATTTTACTCTCTATTTTTTTTTCTCGTTCACTTTTTCTTATTCATTATTATTTGTGTACAACTTTCTGCAAATTGAAATTTTTTTGTGATTTTTCTCTGTTATTGGATCAATAATTGGGCAATCTGTTGGGAATAAATGTTTTATTATTATTATTATTATATCCTCTCTAATTGGACTCAGTTATTGAATTATAAATTATCATTCATATCGAATAACGATAAAAGAGAAATTTCTAATAGAGCTTCTAGAGGATATTTTAAAACTAAATTTTTATTTATTAAATCAAGTTATATCTCACATGTTTTATATAATTATGAAATATTCGTCATTAATACAACATTATTCCTTAAAATTCGTTCTCGAAGTTTTTTTAGTTTTTTTACACTCAGGGTATGTTTTCCTGTAAGCAACGTAGTAAAAATGAGATTTCTGATGCATAGTGTATATTGGGGATACATATTCTTTCAGTTCTGTCGGACTTTCTTGAAAAATTAAATATAAGAATTAGTTAATGTCGACTTCAAATACAGCTTTCAATACTAATCCGTAGATGTCGTGGCGGCGAGCACAAATAATTACAACTTTATCACATTCCATAAATATGTGGGTACTATTAGTACAGCTAGTATCTGAAGAAGAGTTGTCACAAAGAATAATTTGGACTTCATCTTCGAAACTACATTCTGCAACCAATTTTCATAGTACTCGTCCCTTTTTACTTCCAGTAGAAATGTCCAATTTCAGCACAGCGATTTTTTGTTATTTATAAGCACATAAAATTACTGAAATCACTATAAGGAGGCTTCATTCTTTACATTCGTGCATGTATTTGCTGGCAAATACATCCTATTAGGCACTTCGTTTTGGAGGACGAATTTTATATCATCTGCCGCTCTTTTATATATATATATATATATATATATATATATATATATATATATATATATATTTACTTAGCATTTGTAGCAAGGACTTTGGCCAGATTTGCCACCAATTATTACATCCATATTTCTACTTCACGAGACTAACGTTATCTTGTTCTGATATTTTATTACGGTATCTCTTTTATTCATTCCATGGTACGCTGATCTATCGCCTCGACTTCGGAATTCAATCAACATTCAAAGCAAAACAGGTGTTTTAATATCGATGCTTCAGGTGCAAAGCTCAAATTTCAGTTAGAAATGTGTTTTTGATTAACAGATGATGATTAAAACAGATATCAAGAACAGTAGATAATTCAAAATATATAAAATATAACAATATTTGAAATATTGCTCATCCGAATTGTGGGGTGATGTTATGGGTGATGTTATGATGTTTGTGGAGTGTTGCAACTTATTATAACTGCAACTATTGGAAGTGAAAAATTAAATTTTCTATATTCTCAATTATAGATGCCCAATCATTCATTTTTATTTTATTCGATGATATGCTAGAGAAAATATGTTTCTGGTTTGGAGCTTCTGTTGACAATTACTTCTCTCAATTATCGTAGCAGAGTCATAGTGTTTTAACTAATCGATTATGCATCGAAACGCTGTCCTAGTTTTTCTCCATTCTATTTGGGTATTTATATTCGAGAAGATATCTAAAGAATGAACGCAATAAAATATTCAAAAAGGAGGTATTGCTACTTCAGTTTTTAATATAACAAATAACATTGATGTTATGGATGATGTTGAAAATATGTGACGACACAAATTGATGATAAAATATTGTGATGACACAAATTGATGATAAATTGATGAAATAATGATGTGATACAAAATCAATCATATTGATCATAGTATGGAAGTCGAGGATTATTGTGAGGCATTTCAAGATTCGTTTTACAATCCGATTTCACTACACCACCTTTTCATTTCTTTTGACTTTTACCAAATTATTCGAATAACAGTGTGGCGAATTGCATGGTTACGCCTCGAAGTAGCAAATATTGAATTAGTGTTCTACTAATTCAATTTCACATCTCAAGTTCACCATTAGTGCGTCGAAAAGCAGAAACAATTCATGCAAGTCTTCAATAATTCACTGAACAATCTCCGAAAATTGAAAATGTTCCAGTTGTCGAAGTAGATATTTAAAACGCTACGTGCATGAAATGATATAAGGAGGTGAATAACAGTCACACACACACCTACTAAGACACGTATGAGTGCAATACTGTTAATCTTATTTATACAACTCAATCCGAGTCCTAGCCTTCTCTGAATGTTACGATAAGTTGTGCATGCGATGAACGACATTTTATTTATTCAGACCACACGGCATTACCGTTTAAGCATATTAGTTCTAGTTGAATAATCAGTAAATTCACATTTAGTTTCTGCATTGGTGACAGATAACTGATTTTCGCTTCATTCTACATTGGACTGCATTGTGATTATTGGATTCATTGGTTTGACTGACCTAGAATGAAGTGATGTTTAAGCTGCTTCATCGTACTTGACGATTATGTGGAACGATGTGTTGTTTTTCCCATTACCAATTATGGAATTGTGAATATATATATATATATATATATATATATATATATATATATATATATATATATATATATATATATATATATATATATATATCGCTAATGAACAGAGAATTACCAAGGGGGCATCCATAAATTACGTGAGGTGTTTAAGGAGGGGAGGGGGTCGAGTCAAATCTCATCTAATCTTACGTTGGAGAGAGGGGGGCCTTGGCAAATATCAAGCAATTTTTTTTCTGATTGAAAAAAAAAATTATACTATTTTTGTCCATTTAATCCAGATTGTACATGCTTACGATTTAATCTTGAGCGTCATCGTAATACGATTAAGATCATTCACTAATTCGTTCGAAAGAAAATAATTTCATACATACTTCGACGTTATACATCTACTGACTGTCAAACCACCATATTTGTTTCATACCAAATGGCTCAAATTAATCTGAATTTACGGTACAGTGTAGCTCGTCCTTTGTTTTCGTGCCACTGTCAGTCGAACACGCGACTCGATGAACGAGAGCTTACGAGCTGAGTGGCAGCGTAACACGTACAGGTTCTAACCTGCTTTGTTTATTTTTATAAATATTTTACTCGACTCAGTGCATTCTCTCACTTATTTAAAATGAGTTTATATCAAGATTTTCATAACGTATACGTCAAAGGATACATCTATAAAACGAAAAAGTCCTGCCAGGACGATGTGATAAAATTATGGAATACAGCGAAAAGGAAAGACGAGGTAATGAGTTACTGTGCGCAAGCGCCAACGGCTTAGAATGTTTATATCAGAACGAACTTGAAGGAGCAGATGATTTTACTGAAAATCATATGGACATGTTGGTTCCAATATTCTCTCTTGAGACCGCGCATGATTTTCCATGGACTGAATTAGAGTAGATATTCTTTTTTTAATCACAGTAGTTACCTTTTAAGTATTCTATTGTTAAATTTTCATTACACTTATAATTAAGCTCTCAGCAATATTGATTACTTGTCTTAACTAGTCCTAAATAAAAGCACTAAAGCGCATTTCTGCAGTTTTTTCGGAGTGCTGATAGATTTGTTTATTGCCATAACATGGCTGGTTTAATGAAAGAATTGGTAATTTCAAACTGTAACGCAACTGAATGGCGATTGTTTATAGATAGCTCAAAACGTAGCTTGAAGAGTTTTCTCGTCCACAACGTAAATGTATTTGGTTCAGTCCGAACATGTCATTCAGTTTCTTTGCATGAAGAATACGAAGACATGAAGAAGGTCATTGACATTTTGTAATATAACTTACACCAATGAATCATCTGGTTGGACCCTAAAATGGTTTGTTTTCCTCTTGGCCAGGAACGCGGATATACCATGTATCATGGTATAAATGACCTGGAATCTGGTGATCCAAACATTCTAAATAAGCCACTTGTCAACAGAAAAAACATTATATTACCGCCTGTGCATATGAAACTAGGTATCATGAAGCAATTTGTTAGAGATTTGTCAACTGAAGGAGTCTGTTTCAAGTATATTTTTTCAGCATTTCCTAGCTTGTCATATGAAAAG